CTACACTTCTGAAGGAGACTGCTTTATTTAAAGGCTTAGGCTCATCCAAGTATCCTTTCACACTTAAGGCAGGTTTCATAAATAGTAAATGCATTCTTACCGCTTTTTCCTGTTACAACACACTGATTTGCTGATTTTTAAATGGAATTGCTTGTATGAAGCGAGGCAGCCTAACTTAGAAATATAAAATTCTGTGTCTGTAGTGAACAGCAGTTAAGTTGTGAAGAGGACCTGATGCTAGCCACCGTGCTGCTGCAAGAAGTTCTGCCGTTGAAGTCAGAGGAGCTATTTCTGTGAATAAACACACTTCTTTAAAGGAGTGTTTCTAGGATGTAGCCCTAGAGTTGATTGAAGCTTGCTGGAGTGCGTAAACTTCACAGTGGGAAAGCATAGTGGGGGGAGATGTTGGTGGCTTAATGCATGTTTATTTATGAGGCTTTTCAAGTGTATAGGTGATGCAGATCGACCTCTGTGTTGAGAACCACACAGCCAACCTTTGAACTTTAGTCAGGTTTGAGCAGCGCTTCCCAGGTGCAGAGATCATAATGCAGTTTGGGGGCATTAATAGTTGAAAAGTTCATATTAGTTTGTTCCCTTGTAATTAAGAGGTGTAACAACAGTATGATTGCTGTAAAAACATTATTTGTTAATTTGCTGCGATGTCATCATAACTTGCTAGTTATGAAAGAGTAATGCTTTGTTATTGCTACAGAACTTTTCTTCCAGCAAGGGACTAACTAGTTTTGTGTTTCTAGAAACAATAGTGTGTCTGGATGGGATTTTTTAATAGTAGTATTTGCTTTGAGAGATTGTGTATATTTATTTCTTAATTGTATATGATCTTACGTCATTCCTTAAGTTCGGTTAAGAGATTAGACACTCCCTGAAAGCTCTTCAGCATTGCATAGAAGTGACTGCATGTGAGGATGGGCGGGAAATATACTTGAACATTTACACTTCCCATTTTGTGTATATATACTTTGTGCAAGTTAGTTGTAGACCTGCAATTGAGCAGGAAGAGCTATTTTCATAATATGATATGCAGCTGAACACTTAAGCCAGACCAACAAGAAAATCTAAACCAAGAAAACCTGCACAAGTTGATTATTAATGCCATATGTAATGTGTAGGTAGTAAATGAGGATAAGTTGTCCCATGGACTGAAAATATAGAAATGGAAACACTATCGTGTTTCCTGCATTCTAGAATTTCAGACTGAAATGTAGTATAGTAGTACATTTCATCTATACTGAAGTATAGATGAAATGTAGGGCTTGGCTCTTTGATTTACAAAGATTTTCTTACCCTGCTTGACCCACCAGTCAGCTGCTTGCGGTACTATTATGAATAAATGAACTGCAGAACTGAACCCATCATGCAAGAACTCCAAGTACATTGGCAGATGAAACTTTTTTTTTCAGTGCATAATTGCAACATCACATGATGTTTCACGCCGTATGACAGTGCAAACTCAAACCTATGTTTGAGTTTCTCTTCTGTGGAACCGTGAACAGGAACAGATTTTAATGTCGAAAGAATTTTATGTGGCATATTAGTTATGTCACTGGATCAAGCCTTCTGTGTCTTTAGTAATGGATGTGTAGAATGTGTCTAAATTATCTGTTTTTATTTTTTTTATGTGAACTTTCAGGAAAATCTTAAAATTGTCCGATGTGGTTACTGTTTTGCAGTGAAATTCATAGCTTATCTGTAGGCTGAAGCATGCTTGTACATTTGTAAATCTAAAGCATGCACTTAAATGTTTGTGAAGATTGGTCTTATACTTTTGAAAGTGAGTTTTGTGATGAAAATTCTTAAGGGTTAGTGAAAATGCAGGAATGAACTGTGCTGTCAAAATTAAAGGATGCATTTGGGAAAATCTTCAAGGTAAAAGGAAATGTCATTTGATTTTTTTCATAGGAAATGTACTATTTCCAATAGCTTGAAGTTAATGGAACTTTTTTTTTTTCTATCTGCTAGTTCTTCCTTACTCCCTCATTTGAGTTACTGTTTGCATGTCTTAAAGGTGTGTTGGTTTGGGTTTTTAATGCTATTTATCAGCAGTACTTCACTGAGTGATGTTTCTTGTTGGCTGGTATGTGTTTTCAGAGGACTACGGGAGTATGCTGCTTGCAGAAGCTCTATTGGAAGAATGTTTGAAGGAAAACTTTGCCAAACTGAAGGACTCCATTCCATTGGCAGAGAAGAATGAGCCAAAACTGAGTGAAGCTAAACAGTATCTGACCAGTATCTTAAGCAGAGGAAAACTACGAGTAAGTGGTCACTGTCATAATTCCTGCCAACTGGATTATTCTTTTATATGATTATTAGTCTGATACAAGGTGTTGGTGTTGCCTGTTTGTGTCCCTGTATGTACAGTGCTGTATTGTAGGAATTACTAACGGACTGGCAATTCAGTACCCCTTTGCAGTGTCTTCTGCTGGGAGCCTTGCTTTTTCATATGCAAACGAATTAATGTGCAACAAATATATACATCCAGTTTATTTTTTTATTAGAAAGAAGCGGGATAAATATTTAGGAATTCTCTGGGGTGGTGGGGTTGGGGCCACATAATGGTGCTGTCAGGCTAGCACAGCTGCTCCTGGTCTGAAGGAATTGCGTGCGCCTAGTCAGCTCCAGATCAGAGGTAAAATGTGCTGCAAGCTGCTCTCAG